ACAGACTAGGCCTGTGCAGGTGGTATCAGCTATGCCCAGCATGGGCTCCTCCATCAGGCCTGGTCCTCCTCGCTGATGAAAGACCCTCAGTCCTCTCCAAACCAACAGACAGGACGTCCATCACACAGAGGTTTCTCCCTGAAGTCTCTGCAGCTCTATGGACACTACGCTGTCTCAATCCGTCCACACTGAATATGAGGGGAAAAAATAATAAGCAAATAATAAAAATTTTAGACAATAAGAAATATAAAGTTGACAGTTGAGTTGCTCAGTTTTTTTAGATTGTCAATACTATTACTGTATAACTAATATATCAGGTTAAGAGGCACCTTCAAATAAAGATTGGTCTTTAAATACATTTTGTCTCTTGAATTGTTTGTCTAAAGTCAAGGATCTAGAACTGGTACTTAGTTTTAATGATACAGTCTGGTTATTATGCTGTTTGGAGGAGGCCTCACAGGTAAGAGCACCAACTAGCTACCATCACATGTACCTAGCTTTACTTACGTGTATTAAACATATAATTAAGTGATGGCAAAATATAAATAAATAATGTCATGCAAACATATTAATATTTGCTTGATTCCAGAGTTGAATTTAGCACAATTGCATACAAACGTCAAGGGATTTTAAGTTTCTTAAGTCTTCGTTCTAAATAGAAAATAGCATGGATAATTTACAAAGGCTTTAAAAACCCAGAAGGAGCACAAGAAAATTATAAAACGTGTCATTATTTCAGTACAGTTCAATTGATTTTATTTTTATAAAGGGTTATCAACCGTTAGTGCCAAAGCAGTAGGCTATAATATATTAATTACTGCTGTAGACTACAACCACTACTTGTTTAGCTAGCATAAACTCAACAAAGCTAGCGTTAGGTGGCTAACTGACGTTATTTTGCGGCTAAACTGCACGATATAAAACGGTGGTCTTCAAAGCGGATTTAATCCTCATTCACAATAATAATATTCAAAGTAATACTGGGCAAGTAATGGGCAAAACTTACCGTTGATTGACGCACCATGTCAGCGGACTGGTAGCGACACGAACCGTCAGCCCCGCAGTCATCCGGTACGACCTGACTATGGCTGTGACTGTGACTGACCCAAGCCTCATCATTCTGATTGCTCTGCCCCTTCGCGCCAACCCCCCTCCCTCCCCCCACATCTACAGGTGAAAATTACTTTTGCGACACATTTATCGCAAGAAGTGTAGCAAAAGTCAAGACTGCAGATTCGTCAATTTATACTGCCACAGAGCAGATTCGTCAAGTTGTAATGACTGATTTGAGAGCTGGAATAACCAAGTTGCAGTTGTAATGGAAAATATATTTTAGAAATATGTATTTTTCTGCAAGTGAACATTTCATCACTAAGTTCATTTTTTTTCTACAAGCTACAAAACTTTTTCTTCTGTGACTTCAAATTTGGTTCACAGTTACGTGGATATTTTATACAAGTTTAAATTTGCTTCACAGTTACGTTGATATTTTATACAAGTGTAAATGTATGCACACAAGCTCAGATTTGTTTTCTGCAAGTGCTCACATCAGGTTTTACATGCTCTCGCATTTTGCACCATATCTACCTTCATATTCATGTCTCCTATTCGCTAGGACCAATTTCCATGTCTGCCCAATTTCCATGTCTGCCCGATTTACACTGCGCAAGCGCAAGTTGGTCTTCCATATTGGAAAGCTACATACGGCAACCCAAGTTGGACATTTGACACAGCAGCATTTCGCAAAGGAGAAAATTAATCTGAACGAGAGAGATGAGTTATTGTTTTCACAACGTAATTTCCCGATTATTTAAGAAGAAATCCTTTAAGTTGGTTAAGTACATTCTTAGAATAAGTGAGAAATGGATTTAACTTCTGTTTGACAGCTATCACACTGATAAGAAACTATAAATGTATGCAATCATTTATGGCATTAATAGTTTATATCTAATTCTTAACTGTGAATTGTTTTAATTTATTTAACATTAGAAATGTATTAGTCTGGCCAAACTTTTTCTGTTGAGATTCCCTGGAAAAGGGAAATTACTTTTCATACAAAAAAGTTGATTCAAGAACAAAACTCTGTCATTAGATCAGTACGGATGTCAAATGGCCTATTTGGATTGCCGTACGTACCTGTCCAATATGGCAGACCAACCAGCGCTTGCGCAGTGCAAATCGGGCAGACATGCAAATCGGGTAGTCACATGCGGTCCTGAAACTGCAGTCTCCGGCATTGCAGGAACATGCTACTTTTGTTCCTATTAATTTCTAATGACCAGTGTCCATGTCACGTGATCGTAAACTTGACCAGCGTGAGAAAAAATAAACATATTTTTTGTGGAAAATCCTAAATTGTAGGATAGTTTGGCCATTGGCCATGTTTTTTGATTCGATTTCTAGCGAGAAGTGTATTGTACTTTTAAAATCCACGTCCAGTGGATGTGTAGGATCTATAGTATAGATATTACGAAGATTATTTGAGGTCCCACCAGGAGGACGTGTATATTCTACGTATTTTAAAGTGCTCTGCGCGCACCCCCTGAAATTGTGAGATTGATACTCTTTCCCCCTATTCATTTCTATTGATCAGCGTCCATCGTCCACTCTCACCAGGTGAAAACAGTATTTCCGGTCTCGGCATTTTCATAGTAACTAAGGTGGTTGCTAGGGATGCATATCATTCGCCTCACTGATTTTACAGTGATATCTGCAGTCATCAACTAAAAATCATTAGTTTGTCCTATTATTAATTGGTTTAAATTGTGTAAAATGCTTTTGTGTTTTTCCGTTTCTGGTTTGAGAGACACATTTCCTTTTTCAGAATTTTGGAAAGCCGGAAACATTACGCTACCCATAATCCTCAGCTATTGTTGAAGCTCATTGATTGGATGTTTTAGTCGCAATGCACGTTGGGATATGGTGTTTATGCGATGCAGAGATGGAGTACTCGAGTCCTGGACTCGGACTCGAGAGCCGATTTTCGGAACTCGTGACTCGAC